CTGGAGGCAGCTATGGTCAGCCCAGCTTCTGGGTGGCCTGGGTCCTGTTCTCCCGTGTGCTCTGAGCTGTGACTTCCTGGGCGGTGCTGAGAATCAAATCCCCTCGGCTTGCTTCCCCTCCCTAGCTATGACGACCACTCAGCAGACAGGAGGGCCTACGACCGGCGTTACTGTGACAGCTACCGGCGGAACGATTACAGCCGCGAGCGAGGAGAGGCCTACTATGAGCCCGAGTACCGTCATTCCTACGAGTACCGCCGCTCCCGGGACCGCGAGGGCAGCTACCGGAGCTGCAAAAGCAGCCGGCGTAAGCACAGGCGGAGGCGGCGCCGCAGCCGGTCCTTTAGTCGCTCCTCCTCGGGGAGAATCTGCTGTGGTGGGCCTCCCCTGTAACCTTTCTCTCCCAGGTGGCGAGTTGGGTAAGTAGAAAACTCACTTTCTAACTCCCTCGGACTCAGCTTGAGACATGTAGAAAGCCTTTGATGCAGACAGCAGTTCCTGTCCTCCATCCTGATGCGCCTTGGCAGCGGCTGGGGGGGGGCGGCTGGGGGGCCGTCCTAGTGTTGCCTGCTCAGAAGTGGGAGGAGGACAGGCACGCCTTGCGAGGCTGGCTTGTGCCCCGGGGTGGTGCTGCAGTCCTCAGCTCCTGTATCCCCGCAGAGCACTGCCTTTGTTCAGTGATGCTCACTAGGAGCTGCCTAGGAACCCCAGCCAGGTGGTCTTTCGTGCGAGGTTTGCACAGCAAATGTTCAGCTGGTGCTGGTCCCAGAGAGCTCGGTCTGCCTACGGCGGGCGGCTCGGTCCCCAGGGCCCCCGGTTCAGGCCTGTGTTCTGTGGCAGGAAGCCCCAGTCTCTGAGGGTTAGGTCCTGTGTCAGAGCGGGATCCCTCTGGGTGGGCCCAGCTGCTGTGGGATGTCGTGTGAGGGGCTTTCCAAGAGAGCAGAGCTTGTGAACCAGTTGATTCAGGTGGAGGCAGCGACCCTCACAGGCTCTTCCCGGCAGTGTCCCTGATTTCTCTTCTCATCTATTCTGCTGTTCACGTTCCACTTCTGTTAGACCCCAGACACGTTCTCTGCTCTGTGTGTGGAGCTCTCAGTGTTGTCTGGTCTGTTCTGGCTGTGTGTCCAGGGATGGGATTGTGGGCTGGATTCAGGTCCCAAGTCTGCTGCCTGGTTACTCCCAGGCGTGGGGATACTTAGCTGAAGAGCTGAAGGCAGGAATTTTCTCTTCTCTGGCATAAACCTCTTATCTGCCTCATCCCAGGCTGTCCCTATTCCCCGTTGGCCTCTGCTTCTCTCCTGGAAGTTAGTCTTTCTGGGATCAGCTTCTTTGGGGCAGAGTCTAGGAAGAAGTGTCACATCTTCCCCCAGGCAGTCACTCGTAAATCCTCTCTGGTTTTGGATGGATCGTTGTACCGAGAGTTGCTTCCGAAATCTCTGAATTCCTCTTTTCCTGAGTGTTGGGGCTGGGGGAAGCTGTGTGGGCAGTTGTTGGAAGGGGCTGGGGAGTGTCTGTGTGGGGCAGCCTGGCCCATTGCTTGCGCAGGACTTCCCAGCACCTGCCTCCTGCTGCCTTTCCTCAGTGGCTGGCGC